TATGATAGAGCCCAGTAGGCTCAGGAATCTGTACACCAGTTGATTGACAGTTGAGAGGCGGGACCAAAGAGCCAAAGCTCAACCCCCGCAAGCACAATTAGGTGAGTACAATTAATTGAGTACCAGCCACCACACACACACACACACACACACACACACACACACACACACACACACACACACACACACACACACTCACACACACACTCACACACACACACACACACTACCACCAGCCACCACACACACACACCATCACCAGCCACCACCACACACACACACACCATCACCAGCCACCACCACACACACACACACCATCACCAGCCACCACCACACACACACACACACACACACACACACACACACACACACACACACACACACACACACACACACACACACACACACTACCACCAGCCACCACACACACACACACACACACACTACCACCAGCCACCACACACACACACACACACTGCTACAGCAGCACTCTCTCCCCCTCACACTGCTACAGCAGCACTCTCCCCCTCACACTGCTACAGCAGCACTCTCCCCCTCACACTGCTACAGCAGCACTCTGTACCTCATCATTCCCGGAGCATCTCTCCCGGTCCGTCGTCGCCCGCCGCCTTGCTCGGGTCCTCCTCTCTCTCAATTAATCACTGCCTCTTCTCTCCAGTCTTTTCAGAAAAACAAGTTTTTCCTCTCAGTTTTGTGCTCGGGGTGAAAGAGCGTAGTGTGTGTGTGTGTGTGTGTGTGTGTGTGTGTGTGTGTGTGTGTGTGTGTGTGTGTGTGTGTTTACTAGTTGTGTTTACTAGTTGTGTTTTTGCGGGGGTTGAGCTTTGCTCTTTCGGCCCGCCTCTCAACTGTCAATCAACTGTTTACTAACTACTTTTTTTTTTTTCCCACACCACACACACACACCCCAGGAAGCAGCCCGTGACAGCTGACTAACTCCCAGGTACCTATTTACTGCTAGGTAACAGGGGCACTTAGGGTGAAAGAAACTTTGCCCATTTGTTTCTGCCTCGTGCGGGAATCGAACCCGCGCCACAGAATTACGAGTCCTGCGCGCTATCCACCAGGCTACGAGGCCCCTTACGAGGTCACTGTGTGTGTGTGTGTGTGTGTGTGTGTGTGTGTGTGTGTGTGTGTGTGTGTGTTGCTCCAGCTGTGTTACTCCGTAATTGTTCCTGCTTCTTAACTTTAAAAATTTGTTTTGTCCTCTATCAACATTCATATATTCATGAGACTTCCTCCTGTTACTGATCTATAGATGGCTATACTTTGCTGAAGTCATGAGCAGGCTGTTGAATACTATAGAGCCTATCTGGGCACGTGATGTATCGTAGAGGAGCATGACGTCTGCTAGAACCAATCCTATAGCAGCCTAGGATACATGATGAACGTATCCTCTTACATCTAGTGAAGTGATACAGCATTTGAGAGGTGTGTCTCTCATACTGGTTAGTCTAACTCCAAGAGGTCTAATGGCTGGCAAGCAATACAGTAGGAGAGAGTCACCACGTTGCTGTTCAGAGTGTACATAATGAATGCTGAGAGGTGATGAATTATTTATTCGAGGTCACTGTCAGTCGCCGGAGTCGACGGGGTCCAGCAGCAGGTACGAGCATGGGGTCCAGCAGCAGGTACGAGCATGGGGTCCAGCAGCAGGTACGAGCATGGGGTCCAGCAGCAGGTAGGAGCATGGGGTCCAGCAGCAGGTACGAGCATGGGGTCCAGCAGCAGGTACCAGCATGGGGTCCAGCAGCAGGTACGAGCATGGGGTCCAGCAGCAGGTACGAGCATGGGGTCCAGCAGCAGGTACGAGCATGGGGTCCAGCAGCAGGTACGAGCATGGGGTCCAGCAGCAGGTACGAGCATGGGGTCCAGCAGCAGGTACGAGCATGGGGTCCAGCAGCAGGTACGAGCATGGGGTCCAGCAGCAGGTACGAGCATGGGGTCCAGCAGCAGGTACGAGCATGGGGTCCAGCAGCAGGTACGAGCATGGGGTCCAGCAGCAGGTACCAGCATGGGGTCCAGCAGCAGGTACCAGCATGGGGTCCAGCAGCAGGTACGAGCATGGGGTCCAGCAGCAGGTACGAGCATGGGGTCCAGCAGCAGGTACGAGCATGAGGTCCAACAGCAGGTACGAGCATGGGGTCCAGCAGCAGGTACCAGCATGGGGTCCAGCAGCAGGTACGAGCATGGGGTCCAGCAGCAGGTACGAGCATGGGGTCCAGCAGCAGGTACGAGCATGGGGTCCAGCAGCAGGTACGAGCATGGGGTCCAGCAGCAGGTACGAGCATGGGGTCCAGCAGCAGCTACGAGCATGGGGTCCAGCAGCAGGTACGAGCATGGGGTCCAGCAGCAGGTACGAGCATGGGGTCCAGCAGCAGGTACGAGCATGGGGTCCAGCAGCAGGTACGAGCATGGGGTCCAGCAGCAGGTACGAGCATGGGGTCCAGCAGCAGGTACCAGCATGGGGTCCAGCAGCAGGTACGAGCATGGGGTCCAGCCGCAGGTACGAGCATGGGGTCCAGCAGCAGGTACGAGCATGGGGTCCAGCAGCAGGTAGGAGCATGGGGTCCAGCAGCAGGTACGAGCATGGGGTCCAGCAGCAGGTACCAGCATGGGGTCTAGCAGCAGGTACGAGCATGGGGTCCAGCAGCAGGTACGAGCATGGGGTCGAGCAGCAGGTACCAGCATGGGGTCCAGCAGCAGGTACGAGCATGGGGTCCAGCAGCAGGTACGAGCATGGGGTCCAGCAGCAGGTACGAGCAGGGGGTCCAGCAGCAGGTACGAGCATGGGGTCCAGCAGCAGGTACCAGCATGGGGTCCAGCAGCAGGTACGAGCATGGGGTCCAGCAGCAGGTACGAGCATGGGGTCCAGCAGCAGGTACGAGCATGGGGTCCAGCAGCAGGGACGAGCATGGGGTCCAGCAGCAGGTACGAGCATGGGGTCCAGCAGCAGGGACGAGCATGGGGTCCTGCAGCAGGTACGAGCATGGGGTCCAGCAGCAGGTACGAGCATGGGGTCCAGCAGCAGGTACGAGCAGGGGGTCCAGCAGCAGGTACCAGCATGGGGTCCAGCAGCAGGTACCAGCAGGGGGTCCAGCAGCAGGTACGAGCAGGGGGTCCAGCAGCAGGTACGAGCATGGGGTCCAGCAGCAGGTACCAGCAGGGGGTCCAGCAGCAGGTAGGAGCAGGGGGTCCAGCAGCAGGTACGAGCATGGGATCCAGCAGCAGGTAGGAGCATGGGGTCCAGCAGCAGGTACGAGCATGGGGTCCAGCAGCAGGTACGAGCATGGGGTCCAGCAGCAGGTACGAGCATGGGGTCCAGCAGCAGGTACCAGCATGGGGTCCAGCAGCAGGTACGAGCATGGGGTCTAGCAGGGTCTAGCAGCAGGTACGAGCATGGGGTCCAGCAGCAGGTACCAGCATGGGGTCCAGCAGCAGGTACCAGCATGGGGTCCAGCAGCAGGTACGAGCAGGGGGTCCAGCGGCAGGTACGAGCATGGGGTCCAGCGGCAGGTACCAGCATGGGATCCAGCAGCAGGTAGGAGCAGGGGGTCCATCAGCAGGTAGGAGCAGGGGGTCCAGCAGCAGGTACGAGCATGGGGTCCAGCAGCAGGTACGAGCATGGGATCCAGCAGCAGGTACGAGCTGGGGTCCACTGCCCGTGCTAAGGCGGTGTTAAATGACAAGAATCCGTTTAACCTGTAAGATGTCTCAGTCGTCTAACTGATGACGGATGGCGCGGAGTTATCTTGATATCTTGAGGTTATCTTGAGATGATTTCGGGGCTTAGTATACCCGCGGCCCGGTCCTCGACCAGGCCTCCACCCCCAGGAAGCAGCCCGTGACAGCTGACTAACTCCCAGGTACCTATTTAGTGCTAGGTAACAGGTGAATCAGAGTGAAAAAGAAACTCTACCCATTGTTTCTCTCCGGCGCCCGGGATCGAACCCGGGACCACAGGATCACGCATACAGTGTTGTGTCAGCTCAGCCAAAGGCTCCTTTCGCCACCGGAGAAGCTTACCAAATTACCAAAGAAGCGAAGAATTACCAGACTTCCCTTGGCGATGTTTGGTAATTCCACAGCTTGAACTGATTTCTTACTGAAGTCTGAAGGGTGAGTGTTTCGTCCGCCAGGAGGTTAGGGTACGATATAGAGCATGAACCTCGACGAGATAATAAGCGTTGTATCAGTCACACATCAGTCTTCAGCTTAACCGTTTTACGTCTGGACTGTTAAGAAGGTATTTTGAGAAGTTCCTGAACAGTTAAGGTTGTCATTCACTAGTTCCATAAGGATGGAAATAGCCAGCCACTGATTCGGTGTTGGATTTCCAAATTGCAGCGGTGTATAGCGGGCAAAAGTACTTGCTTCAAGAAGTCGTACTGGGTATTTTGCTGCTGTGGCTTCAGTGGAGACCAGAGACAAGATGAATCTATTCAGAGAGATTGATTTTCCTTAGAGGATTCAGATGCCCTTTCATGTACAGGTTTATTCGGTGGAGGAGACGAATGTTCCCAAAAGTTGGCTTCAGGAGAAATGTGGATCCAAGGTTCCAGTTGTGAAGGTCGTGTGCGGTGTACACCTTCCACGACGTCTCCGGCTGAGTCTGGTGCTTGGCTGCAGGATGTGGCACGTCGGGGGACCACGTCGGGGGACCACGTCGGGGGACCACGTCGGGGGACCACGTCGGGGGACCACGTCGGGGGACCACGTCGGGCACCACGTCGGGCACCACGTCGGGCACCACGTCGGGCACCACGTCGGGCACCACGTCGGGGGACCACGGCAGGGACCACGTCGGGGGACCACGGCAGGGACCACGTCCGGGGACCACGTCGGGTCCTTGGTCCCTAACGTGGCTCCCGGATAGGAATATTAGGATGCGTATGGTTGACGGGCAGCTTCACTTCCCACTGAGATAGATTTCTGGCCCGCCAGCTCGGCTTGTGCTGCTGTTCATAAATCCGGTGATCAAGATGCTGATAGACAATGGCGTCGGATGTGTAGCGATGATGCGAGGCAAGTGGGGGGAAATATGTCGTGTGGTAGTTCATAAGTTCCACTTTGAGTATGTAACAAGAGAACAGTAGAACTGTAGACATGTATAAAATTGGAAGGTGTCTGGTAGCGGCAACATCCTGTCTAGCTGCAGACAATGAGAACTCGCCCCTGCCAGCATGGCTGCTAACCACGGCCATGCCAGGTCAGGTCAGGCCAGGTCAGGTCAGGTCAGGTCAGGTCAGGTCAGGTCAGGTCAGGTCAAGTGCATGTTAATGATGTTGTCAGATATGTTGGAGTCTTGCTAATCCGTTTGTGATTACCAACTTACTTCAGAAGTCAGTTAAATAAAAGATAAAAGATAGATTGAGAGATATACAATGTGTGAATGTCACACTGTGTGCGCAGTGTATATTCCTTCCTTACCTGAAGATAAGGTAAGTTACTGAAAACTTACGTTGCTGAAAATATGGCCTTCAATAATCATTAGCCTTCTTTACCATGAATATCAGTGCCTTGATGGCTCTTCTTAATCCCGAGAGTAAGGAAATAGAAGCATGGAAACCTATACTATAAGATCAACAACGCCCACAATGCGGTCATATGTAATGAAATATGCTGAGAGGAATGCCTGCGGCCCAAGTATACAGACTATAACCCATGTGTCCCGGCAGTAAGAAATGAAGCTATAACCTATAGATACAGGTTTGATCTAATACGCAGACAACTCGTGTTAAAGAAGGAAGCCTTTAGCAGTCTTGAACAGCAACTAGTAGAGACCGTCAGCTGAAGAAGAAAATGCGACGTCCCCAACAATATGAGAGAGGACATGGCCAGAGGACTCACTTGCCTTTAAGCCAGACACCACGAGGAAACAGAAACGAAAACTGTGAGAAAGTTGATAGCCCCCAATGAGGGTATTCTCAGGATCACACCACCAGTCAATGGTTGTATCAACCTGTGAGGAGCCGGTCGGCCGAGCGGACAGCACACTGGACTTGTGATCCTGTGGTCCTGGGTTCGATCCCAGGCGCCGGCGAGAAACAATGGGCAGTTTCTTTCACCCTATGCCCCTGTTACCTAGCAGTAAAAATAGGTACCTGGGTGTTAGTCAGCTGTCACGGGCTGCTTCCTGGGGGTGGAGGCCTGGTCGAGGACCGGGCCGCGGGGACACTAAAAAGACCCGAAATCGTCTCAAGATAACCTTACTGGATATGACCCCAACCCAGGAACCAGCAGAACTCCTTAACGTCGGACTGAATTGTCACTACCTCTCCACCCCAAGACCAGAAGAGTCTGGAGATAGAAATGACACTAGACGATATACACAAACTAGAAGACCAAAATAAAATAAAAGAACAGGTAAAATAAAATCACCACCGCTGCTTCCCTTCAATGAGAACTCTTAGAGGAAGCCAATAAGAAGAGAGGCAACTAGAGGAGTAACACCCTAGATAACAACCCAAAGCAGCAGCCAAGCAACTTAGGTCCCTAGAGAACATCACAATCCGGAGAGCCGATAAAACCGCAGCCTTCACTCTCATCCCGACTGATGAATATGTCACCAAACTCAAAGAAATCCTCCAAGATAAGACCAAATTCCAGATAATAACCAGCAACCCAACTGGAGATATCAAGAAGAAAGTCAACCGTATAATTGATGCTGTTAATGCTAAAAAAGGCAGAATTCACCTGGAAAAGGTCCAGGGTTATCTTGAGGTTATCTTGAGATGATTTCGGGGCTTTAGTGTCCCCGCGGCCCGGTCCTCGACCAGGCCTCCACCCCCAGGAAGCAGCCCGTGACAGCTGACTAACTCCCAGGTACCTTTTTACTGCTAGGTAACAGGGGCATTCAGGGTGAAAGAAACTTTGCCCATTTGTTTCTGCCTCGTGCGGGAATCGAACCCGCGCCACAGAATTACGAGTCCTGCGCGCTATCCACCAGGCTACGAGGCCCCCTACGAGGCCAGGGGTGACTACAACCCTGGACCAGTCACGGTTGTCAACACCCGCAAGCCCGGTGAGCCTCTACGACCTATCATCAGCCAGATCCCCCACACCCACGTATAATCCTGCTAGGCGACTCAACACTGAATTGACTCCCTATGTACCAAACAACTATTTTGTTTTTTAGGCATAGTGAAAACGACTAAAACTGAAGTGGTTCATAAAGAAGAGTACGCCACAACACACACAATCTTGCCAGATCATAATTTGGTTGACCAGCTTCCTGAGCGTAATGTCATCAACGTGCATTTGGCAGATGGTTCACTCAAGCTGTCAAGGTCCAGTAATTATCAGAGTAAATAATTAAATATTGTGCTTAATAATTGAGAAAATGAAAGATGAATTCACCTGTGGCAGTCACCCGTGGCAGTCACCTGTGGCTCTCACCTGTGGCTCTCACCTGTGGCTCTCACCCGTGGCAGTCACCCGTGGCAGTCACCCGTGGCTCTCACCCGTGGCTCTCACCCGTGGCTCTCACCCGTGGCTCTCACCCGTGGCAGTCACCCGTGGCTCTCACCCGTGGCAGTCACCCGTGGCTCTCACCCGTGGCTCTCACCCGTGGCAGTCACCCGTGGCTCTCACCCGTGGCAGTCACCCGTGGCTCTCACCCGTGGCAGTCACCCGTGGCTCTCACCCGTGGCAGTCACCCGTGGCTCTCACCCGTGGCAGTCACCCGTGGCTCTCACCCGTGGCAGTCACCCGTGGCTCTCACCCGTGGCAGTCACCCGTGGCTCTCACCCGTCTCACCCGTGGCTCTCACCCGTGGCAGTCACCCGTGGCTCTCACCCGTGGCAGTCACCCGTGGCTCTCACCCGTGGCAGTCACCCGTGGCTCTCACCCGTGGCAGTCACCCGTGGCTCTCACCCGTGGCAGTCACCCGTGGCTCTCACCCGTGGCAGTCACCCGTGGCTCTCACCCGTGGCAGTCACCCGTGGCTCTCACCCGTGGCAGTCACCCGTGGCTCTCACCCGTGGCAGTCACCCGTGGCTCTCACCCGTGGCAGTCACCCGTGGCTCTCACCCGTGGCAGTCACCCGTGGCTCTCACCCGTGGCAGTCACCCGTGGCTCTCACCCGTGGCAGTCACCCGTGGCTCTCACCCGTGGCAGTCACCCGTGGCAGTCACCCGTGGCTCTCACCCGTGGCTCTCACCCGTGGCAGTCACCCGTGGCTCTCACCCGTGGCTCTCACCCGTGGCTCTCACCCGTGGCAGTCACCCGTGGCTCTCACCCGTGGCAGTCACCCGTGGCTCTCACCCGTGGCAGTCACCCGTGGCTCTCACCCGTGGCAGTCACCCGTGGCTCTCACCCGTGGCAGTCACCCGTGCTCTCACCCGTGGCAGTCACCCGTGGCAGTCACCCGTGGCTCTCACCCGTGGCAGTCACCCGTGGCTCTCACCCGTGGCAGTCACCCGTGGCTCTCACCCGTGGCAGTCACCCGTGGCTCTCACCCGTGGCAGTCACCCGTGGCTCTCACCCGTGGCAGTCACCCGTGGCTCTCACCCGTGGCAGTCACCCGTGGCTCTCACCCGTGGCAGTCACCCGTGGCTCTCACCCGTGGCAGTCACCCGTGGCTCTCACCCGTGGCAGTCACCCGTGGCTCTCACCCGTGGCAGTCACCCGTGGCTCTCACCCGTGGCAGTCACCCGTGGCTCTCACCCGTGGCAGTCACCCGTGGCTCTCACCCGTGGCTCTCACCCGTGGCAGTCACCCGTGGCTCTCACCCGTGGCAGTCACCCGTGGCTCTCACCCGTGGCAGTCACCCGTGGCTCTCACCCGTGGCAGTCACCCGTGGCTCTCACCCGTGGCAGTCACCCGTGGCTCTCACCCGTGGCAGTCACCCGTGGCTCTCACCCGTGGCAGTCACCCGTGGCTCTCACCCGTGGCTCTCACCCGTGGCAGTCACCCGTGGCTCTCACCCGTGGCAGTCACCCGTGGCTCTCACCCGTGGCAGTCACCCGTGGCAGTCACCCGTGGCAGTCACCCGTGGCAGTCACCCGTGGATCTCACCCGCGGCTCTCACCCGTGGCAGTCACCCGTGGCTCTCACCCCAGTCACCCGTGGCTCTCACCCCAGTCACCCGTGGCTCTCACCCGTGGCAGTCACCCGTGGCTCTCACCCGTGGCAGTCACCCGTGGCTCTCACCCGTGGCAGTCACCCGTGGCTCTCACCCGTGGCAGTCACCCGTGGCTCTCACCCGTGGCAGTCACCCGTGGGCCCGTGGCTCTCACCCGTGGCAGTCACCCGTGGCTCTCACCCGTGGCAGTCACCCGTGGCTCTCACCCGTGGCAGTCACCCGTGGCTCTCACCCGTGGCAGTCACCCGTGGCTCTCACCCGTGGCAGTCACCCGTGGCTCTCACCCGTGGCAGTCACCCGTGGCTCTCACCCGTGGCAGTCACCCGTGGCTCTCACCCGTGGCAGTCACCCGTGGCTCTCACCCGTGGCAGTCACCCGTGGCTCTCACCCGTGGCAGTCACCCGTGGCTCTCACCCGTGGCTGTCACCCGTGGCTCTCACCCGTGGCAGTCACCCGTGGGCAGTCACCCGTGGCAGTCACCCGTGGCTCTCACCCGTGGCAGTCACCCGTGGCTCTCACCCGTGGCAGTCACCCGTGGCTCTCACCCGTGGCAGTCACCCGTGGCTCTCACCCGTGGCAGTCACCCGTGGCTCTCACCCGTGGCTCTCACCCGTGGCTCTCACCCGTGGCTCTCACCCGTGGCAGTCACCCGTGGCTCTCACCCGTGGCAGTCACCCGTGGCTCTCACCCGTGGCAGTCACCCGTGGCTCTCACCCGTGGCAGTCACCCGTGGCTCTCACCCGTGGCAGTCACCCGTGGCTCTCACCCGTGGCAGTCACCCGTGGCTCTCACCCGTGGCAGTCACCCGTGGCTCTCACCCGTGGCAGTCACCCGTGGCTCTCACCCGTGGCAGTCACCCGTGGCTCTCACCCGTGGCAGTCACCCGTGGCTCTCACCCGTGGCAGTCACCCGTGGCTCTCACCCGTGGCAGTCACCCGTGGCTCTCACCCGTGGCAGTCACCCGTGGCAGTCACCCGTGGCTCTCACCCGTGGCAGTCACCCGTGGCTCTCACCCGTGGCAGTCACCCGTGGCTCTCACCCGTGGCAGTCACCCGTGGCTCTCACCCGTGGCAGTCACCCGTGGCTCTCACCCGTGGCAGTCACCCGTGGCTCTCACCCGTGGCAGTCACCCGTGGCTCTCACCCGTGGCAGTCACCCGTGGCTCTCACCCGTGGCAGTCACCCGTGGCTCTCACCCGTGGCAGTCACCCGTGGCTCTCACCCGTGGCAGTCACCCGTGGCTCTCACCCGTGGCAGTCACCCGTGGCTCTCACCCGTGGCAGTCACCCGTGGCTCTCACCCGTGGCAGTCACCCGTGGCTCTCACCCGTGGCAGTCACCCGTGGCTCTCACCCGTGGCAGTCACCCGTGGCTCTCACCCGTGGCAGTCACCCGTGGCTCTCACCCGTGGCAGTCACCCGTGGCTCTCACCCGTGGCAGTCACCCGTGGCTCTCACCCGTGGCAGTCACCCGTGGCTCTCACCCGTGGCAGTCACCCGTGGCTCTCACCCGTGGCAGTCACCCGTGGCTCTCACCCGTGGCAGTCACCCGTGGCTCTCACCCGTGGCACTCACCCGTGGCTCTCACCCGTGGGTCACCCGTGGCTCACCCGTGGCAGTCACCCGTGGCTCTCACCCGTGGCTCTCACCCGTGGCAGTCACCCGTGGCTCTCACCCGTGGCAGTCACCCGTGGCTCTCACCCGTGGCTCTCACCCGCGGCTCTCACCCGCGGCTCTCACCCGTGGCTCTCACCCGTGGCTCTCACCCGTGGCTCTCACCCGTGGCTCTCACCCGTGGATCTCACCCGCGGCTCTCACCTTTGACGACGCTAGACACAATGACCAGAACACGGAATAGAATTCCATTACCAAGAAACTCTGAAAGGCGGCGAACCTTGAGTCAGAGCTTCGGCGTCACACACGCGGGATCCACAGTTCGACTTTCCTAAAGCCCAGGTGAACGGAATGCTTATTTCCACGGAAGTGTGGATAACAATATATTCAGTCAGATGGTATATGCGCCATTTCCTGAAATCATGCTAATAGTCACTGAATCTCTTCCCGAAACGGCACTGATGACTAGATTATCTCAAGATAACTTAATTCTACGCCTGAAGCATGAGCTCTCGCTGTGTCTCTTGACTCTACGTTAGTCTCCTTAACTTCAATTTAACTTTGGACATTTATAAGGAGAAACGTATATTGTGGAGTTGACTTGATGCTGCGGGAGACTTTGAGAGATTCGTAACATCTGCTGGCTAAGCTGACGGTAAACATGCACAGCGTCTATAGTCTGGTCATATAGCTAGAGTGGCGGAGTATTTTCTTATAATTTTTCACTTTAATTTTTCTTTAAATATTTAGTGACACTTGACGGTATGCGAGATGCAGCCGGACTGGAGCGTCTAACAAGTATAGGTGTATATTGGTGCAAAAGTTAGTCTTCTTACTTTGTTCAAAACGTATTGTTGTATTCTTTTGTTATTTTGTTATTTAAGTATTTTCTAATTTATGTTCTCCATCTTTCGTCCCAATATTCTGCCTACAGTCGTATATTGAAATGACTGGTTGTTAAGGATACCTACCACCTTGTGACCGTTGTTTTTGGGTAATGACCGATATTTGCTGATTGTTTATGCCTACAGTGTATAGAAAGCGGCTCTTGCCAAACTTAGGCCAAAGCGCACTATACGCAACAGTTTCATTGCACTACAAAACCAACGCCACCACAAATCTAAGTAAAACCAGGACTACTGCACTATACGAAACACTCCCTAACATACTATAGGGAGCAGTCTTCGCTGCACCATACACATTCCCCGCTGCAACATGTTATGTTTAAGGGGGCATTAAGAAGCTACACTATACCAAAAAGCTATTCACACGATGTACATTTCGCCTCAACTTGCAAAAAAATTCTTAGCTACAGTAAAGGATAGAAACTATAGAACTATTCGTTATCAACGTTTCTTTGTTACCTTTTGGTTCTATATATTTGTATATTCCTAAGCCACAGTGTTCATCCTGTTGTGTATTTTTTTTTTCAGGGATATTCCTGCGCGGGCCCTAAGCCTCTGGCTGGCCCACTAAGTGTTGCTTGTTTCTGTTTTACTTGGGCGGAGTATGAGTATTTATGACTCGTATGGTCGCTTCAGTAAGGTTTTGTCCCATGTGTTTAACAACTTCTGCTCTGTTGAATCTAAGTTAAAACCTTAATGGTTTTG